CAAGTAGTCAGACTGCCACCTTTAATGGTCCTTGAGCTGTTCAGTGGAGTTACACTTTGAGACTCAGGTCACCCCGGGGGGCGGGGGGGGGGGGCTCCCCAGTCCAACCTTTAGCATTCAGACACAAAGTGGACTGCAGGGAAGAGGGCTGAGCATTGAGCTAGGGGGCCTACCTCCTGGTCTCTCTGGAGAGTAGGGAAAATGTCAGCCCAGGACCCAGAGTCCAAGAGGAGGGGCGAGGGCCTCCTGGAAGTTATGCTTTGACATCAGCATCACATACTGGAAAGTGGTGAAACTTTAAGGCAGGGCCAATTTCACATCTGTCTTTGTACCYTTGGCCTGACGCACAGAAACTCAATCCATAATTGCTTAAAACCCAAATACTAGTTGGGCATGTTAAAACATAGCTGTAATCCCAGCAACTCAGGAGGCTGAMGCAGGAGGATCACGAATTCAAAGCCAGTCTTAGCAATTTAGCAAGGATGTGTTTCAAAATAAAAAGGGCTGGGGATGTGGCTCAGTGGTAGAGTGACCCTGGGTTCAGTCCCAGTACTATAAACAAAACAAAACAAAAACAACAACAATAAAAAACCCAAACTCTAGGACTCAAGCCCTTCACAACAGATACTTAATCTTCCATGTGGTCAGACTATTTTATTCTTGCTCTTAGGGTTAGGCATACAGTGGCCTTGGCTTATATTCSAGGCTCTGCAATTCTAAGTGATTCCAATGCTAGGAATGCATTCTTTTGAAATAAACACAAGCACAAAAATAAATGAATGAGGTTGTAGGTTATAGTATAGTTTGTCACCATACTTTGTGTGGTATGGTTTGTCACAAAGTTTGTCACAAAATTGGGAGATCTTAAGTATTCATCAACAGGGAATGGTTGAATAAATTGGATCTAACCCCACTAAGAAGTACTATGTGTCTTTTAAAAAGAATGAGCTAGACTTAAATGAACCAACATGAAAAGACATCCTTAGTATGTAAAGTGAATAAAGCAAGTTGCAAAAAATCTGGTACTATATGTGTGTATATTTGTACTTTAAAAAAGGCATGGAGTAGAGAAGAGGAAAAGGATGGGGAATGGGGGGAATAATGAGAAATGATAATGGCCAAATTATATTGTTATATTGTGTGCATGTATGAATATGTAACAACAAATCCCAGCATTATGTACAATTATAATGTACCAATAAAAAATATGGAAAAAATAAAGAAAAAGGCATGTAAAAGTCCATATAAAATTAACGTAAAAATAGTTATTAGTTGTAGAGAATAAATAGATAGGTCTGAAACATTTTTCTATACTATTCAACTTTTCTCCATTGTATTACTTTTGTTTGTTTTGGGTAAGGAGATAGAACTCAGGGGCACTCAACCACTGAGCCATATCCCCAATCCTATTTTGTTTTTTATTTAAAGACAGGATCTCACTGAGTTGCTTAGCACCTCACTTTTGCTGATCCTCATGCCTCAGCCTCCTGAGCCACTGAGATTATAGGCATGTGTCACTGCAGCTGGTTCTATTATATTACTTTTATAATTAAAAAAGAATAAATTTCCCGGGTATGGGGGCGCTTGCTTGTAATTTCAGTGACTCAGGAGGCTGAAGGAGGATGATCACAAATTTGAGGCCAGATTCTGCAACTCAGTGAGACCCTGTCTCAAAACTAAAAAATAAATAGGGCTGGGCATGAAGCTTAGTGGTAAAGAATGCCTAGGTTCAATCCCCAGTATCAAAATAACTAAGTAATTACAAAATAAATAAATTCTGGGATATTAAGCTATCTTTAGCAAGGGTCCAACAGTCTTCAGGTCAGGTATAGATACCCAGAGGCTTCAATGATCTGTTGTTGGGAAATAGTTGGTATAGGGCTGGCAGCAGGTTTTAAGAGGCAGAGGCTCTTGGTTAACTCTCAGAATGGTCAGGGTATGGGTTTTAAGGAAAAGTGCAGGTGTTGAGTTAGGGCAAGGCCAGCCATGGCTGGAAGGCAAGAAACTAATTTCTTAGCATTCTTACAACTCCTTTTCCTCTTCTTTACCATTGCTCCTTTCTGTCTCCCCTTGCCCAAGTTGGCATGTGTACTAGTAAGGGTTCTCTAGAGGAACAGAACCAACATATATATCCTAGACACTCTCATTGACACATCCAGAAGCCTCTTACTTTCAGGCATCTTTTAATCCAATCAGTTGACAATTCAGATTAACCGTACAGCATGTGGTCCTTTCTTCCCCTTCTGTACCTCTCACTCCCTGTGAGATGCTCTTAGCTCACTCTTCCTGGGCAATGCTATGCTATTTTTTTGGCAGGCTTGAAGAAGCTTCTTGGCACAACATAAGTTTGGTGGGCATGATATGATTTGGCTGGGGAGCTGTTGAGTGATGATATAGGTGCTGTGAGGCGAGCTGGAATAAGTGACAAAAAAAAAAAGACTAATAAATGTTTGGATGTTTAATACAACCAAGAGTAGGGTCAGGAGCTGGGATTATGGGGCTGGGGCTGTAGCTCAGTGGTAGAGCACTTGCCTAGCACATGTTGAGGCACTGGGTTTGATCCTCAGCACCACATAAAAACAAATAAAGGTTTTGTGTTTACAACTAAAAATATATTTAAAAAATAAAAGATCAGGCATTATATGAGTCTATGGCTAACTTGACTTATTAGCACAGATTTTCTCAATTGGGCCCTAATCCATTCTTCTATAGAGCAGATTTACCTGGTAGGCAGAGTGCCTAAGCCCCATAATACTTCTAGGGGCCCACAAAAATGTTGAAGATTAAAAGATGTAAATAGAATCTATATTACATTCACCCTTATGCCAATGTAATCATAATTTTTTATGGAGTCAGGGTCCTATGAAGTGCCTAGGGCCCATCAAAGTTAAAACATGGCCCTTATCTTTTACCTTCTATAGCTGTTGTTCCCTTTCCCTGATGTCTTCTTGGTTTCTCAGAACCTTTTGTATCTTTGTCCTTCTGTGTCCTTGCTCATACTGTTTGTGTGACATCTCTGCTTATCGGCTCCTTCCCACCTGAGAACTCACCCATTCTTTGTAAGGCCTTTCCCAATTCCCCTGAGGGGAAGGGACTGTTCCTTCTAACACACATAGCACTTTTTTTTTCTGACTTCTCCAAGCTTCTCATGACTAATTTAGAGTAGAAGTTCCACAGGGAAATAACCTCATCTTACACTTCCTCATAACTTCATGTACTTGACATCCAATACATAGATATTTGGGAATAACAGCCAGTGACTGTAACAGAGTATTTCAAATGTATGTGGTTCTTCCCAGTCTAACTCAACAGATACAGCTAAGGGACAAAGCAGGAAAAGAACCCAACACACACTTCTTCTACCAATGCCCTAAAATCTTTATTTCCACTGGGATTCCATGCCCAATTCTCTTGTTTCTAAGAACTTCTCCTTTTCCCCACTCTAGGTCACATCCTGGCCACTTCTTTCTTTCCCTTTGGCTGGGCCACCCTAGAGTATCTTCTCTATAATGGGCTCCCAAAGGGTACCAGGGAGCTTCCTACAGGGTTGAGTTGCAGGGAACAGGAGGCAGCTGTGGTTCCATGGCACCCTCAAGTGGTGATAGCCTGCTACTGATATCAGAAGAAGACTTCCTGGTCAGAATTTGTTTTCAGCTAGTGGGGGGGGGGGGCAGGGAGGGCTTTCTTTTTTTTTTTTTTTTGGTACCAGGGATTGAACCCAGGGGTGCTTAATCACTGAGCCATATCTCCAGCCCTTTTAAATATTTTATTTAGAGACAGGGTCTTGGTAAATTGCTTTAGGGCCTCACTAAGTTGCTGGGGCTGGCTTTGAACTCATAATCCTCCTGTCTCAACCTCCTGTGTGTGTCCTTGGGATTATAGGCATGTGCCACCAGTCCAGTCCTGACAGTAGGGGGAGCTTTCTACCTCGGGCGAAGAGCCAGTAGCACATTAAGTCTGCTCCATACCATGCCTATGCCAGTACAGTGGAAGGGATCAGTCTTTTAGTCTTGTTCGACTCTGCAAATTGTCCCTGCTTGAGTTCTAGTCTCACGGTTGCCAATACCTTGCTGGGTGTCCTTGGACAAATTCACTCGTCTGGTCTCAGTTTCATAATATGAAATTAAAGGATTAAAATATCAGTTTTCAAATTAGGTTCATAGACCTCTACAAGTTCATGGATTGGAGAGCATTGCCCTTCCCTCCCTCAATTTTCACCATGCTGCTTTGCTTTTTCTACTTTATATATGGGGCTTAAACTTGAGAATCACTGCTTCCATGAACTTTTTTTCAGCGTTAACATCCCAGGATTCCCAAATGTGGTTTCCTTCCACATGGCTACATAGCTCTATTGTTCTAGGCTTTATGGAAGCCAGCCAGCTGTAAATGATCAGAATGGGGTGAAGAGGGCATAGTAAAGCTGGTGGCTTGTCTAGTGTTCTTGTGTGGTGGAAGGAGCTTTGGTTCAGCAGTGAAGAGCCTCAGTCTTAGCTACAGCTATCCACTAGCTGTGTGACTACAGACTCATTTACCTCTTTCTGCTTTAGTTTCTTGTCAGTAAAATGGGCACAGTGGTTCCTGTCCTGTCTTTCTCACAGGATTATTGGACAAATGAAATAAAATAAAGGATACTCAATGGGATACTTCCTATGAATCATGATCAGTTCTACACACTTTGGGCTGTGAGCAAGGGAGGCTCTCTTTGACCTCTAATCCCTCCATGAGAGCACCCTGTTTCACTAGATTCTGCAGGTGCTCTGGGTGACCAGGGCTTCAGGATGGGGATACAGAGGTATTCTTCTTGTGTTCAGCATTGCTGTCCTGGGCCCTCCCCCAGCTGCCTTCTCTGCTTTGGAGGACTCTGTTTCTAGGGAAGAAGGAGAGCCCTAGGCCAAGTATCATGTGTCCTCAAGGACTCTTCCATCAGTGTGGAGGAAAGAAAATGGGTCCAATGTTGCAAGGAGCAAGATGGTCCTGCTTTGACATCCATTGGGTTTAGCAATCCATTTTTAAGGCCTATTGAGGAGCTAGTGTCAGTTTGTCAGACATCAGCAATCCGGTTTCCTGAGAGGATCGCAGGAGCTTGCTGGGGATGATCCAGGGCCTAGACAAAGAGCCAGAGCTGGTGGGTGTCCCTGGGATCACAGGGGGCCATAGTTGGTTTTTTGTCCTGGGATGTCAGGCAGGTACCAGATCCTGAGTTCCTGATGAGGTGATCCTAAAAGACAGAACAGCAAAGGATCAACTTGGGGGCAGACCTCTAACAGTGCTACTGGGGGGCAGTGAGATAGGGGACAATTGAAGGAGGCAAAGGAACCCAACAAGGCACAAAGAAGACATTTGCAGTTTCTCTCCTGGGAGGCAGACACTCTGATGAGCTGCATTTGTGATTCCCTGTCTGAGGCCAATTCCCCAGCCCCAGCTTTAGCTTGAGTGGCTGAAATAAAGGAAAGCAAGACCAGAGGCTAATAGAAAAATGCTTTCAGAGGGTGTAGGCAGGTAGCCTGGGTTCTTGCAGCCTGATCCTTTAGGCCACACTCTTAAGCAGTGGGTCCCAGTGGTGCCTGTTGGGTGTGTTGTCTGCAATGGCCACCGCTAATCTCCAACCCACTGACCCCATGGCAGCTCTGCTAAAACAGATATATAGAGAGAACAAACTATATTCAAACCATGAGCTAAGTCCAGTGACTAGCAAAGAAGAAAGCTGACCTTTGATGAAGAACAAGATGAACAGAATATATTACTTGGGCAAGATTTGGAAGACATGGGAGCAGAAATTCCTATTGTAAATCTGGAGCTTGTATAACAGAAGCTGATAAAACAAACAAACAAACAAACCTTATTGTACTAGAAGCTAGACTAGGAATTTATCCTATTAGAGAGAAGCCTGAAGATGAGGATGTTTAGATGCTGCCCTCTCAGACAAAGTAGCAGTCTGGGGAGCCCCTCCAAGTGACAGCTGAACAAACCCTGGCCACTCTCGCAGAAAACAATATAGAAGCCAGGTTCTTAGGAAATGCATCTTGTGGCTACTACACGTTCAAGTTCCCCGCAGGCAACGTGGACAGAAAGTAACTTTGAAGCCAAAGTATTCTTCTTCAAAGCACTACTACTAAGCAGAGACTTTTCCCAGGCCAGGAAGAAGGGCCATCATGTGTGCACCAGTAAGGAGGAACTGGGCGACTATTTGAAATCAAAACACTTGACCCAGGTTAGGAGATTTCTTTTGGATCTCTGAAGGAAGGAGCTTCCTGTGGACAATGCTCAGACAAGTCAGGGGTTAGTACTTCAAGGATGTGTGGTTACTCCATATTTGCAGGAAATATCAAGTAGCAAACTAAATTCTGAGAATTAAATGTCAAGAAAGAGAGAGAGAAAAGAAAAGGAAAGGAAAACAAAAGGAAAAAAAGAAAGAGAAAAATGCTCTAAGGGACTCCTGCCAACCTAGATGTCCAGGCTCAAAGACCTGAGGTCACTGCTGCCTGCCCCCCATTTCCTGTCTTTGATTTTATTTTGACTCCTCCCTTTCCTACAGCCTCGGGTTAGGCTCCTTTTTCCTGAGCTGAAAATGGGCTCAGCGATATGGACGCTACATTACATATCCTGGAACAGTGTGGCACCATGGAAAGAGCCTGTGCTTTCAAGCCAGACAACCTAGGTCTGAATCCCAGCCTTCCAGTTCCTTGTGATGAGTCTTGGGTCAGTTGTAAACTTGTTGAGCTTCATCTGGCTCATCCAAAGGCATGGGGCCACTGCCTACCTAAAGATGCTTGTGCCACAGCAGAACTGGCCATGGGCCATAATTGCCAACCCTATGTTTGTATCAGCCAGAACCAGTCATCACTCGACATTGATCAAGTCCTGAGAACCCTGCCTGTCATCAAGCCCACACTCAGCAGGTAACCTCATGGCATCTCAGGCAGAAGATACAGAGAGTAAGCAGCAGGCAGATGTGGCCTTGAGTTCTTGATTCCAAGATTTCTGGGCAACTGACTCACCTGGGTCAATTCCCATTCCTCATCCTTGGGCACGTGGCTATTTTTGCCAGTGAACTGACATTTCCGAAGGCCCAGTGTTCTAGCGCTGGCATGTAGACACAGCTGCTTTGCGACATTGTGGCGAAGGTCCCTCTGGGTTGTGTACTCAAAGTACTGGAAGTCAAGACAAGAGGAAGTTTTGAGGAGCAGGTGGGGAGTGGCCCACTGCCTTCCAAAGCCACATGCCCTAAGATACCATCCACAGGTGGACTGCTGGGAAGGAAAGCAAGTGGACCAGGCCATGCTAAGACTCTTAGTAATTCTTGTTGCCTTCATGATTTTTACCAAATATAGGTTATACTGGAATAACAATGAACGTATATTTATTTATTAAATTAAATTAATTAAAATTTAATTAATTAAATTAATTAAAATTTACTGTGCATGGTGGCACTTGGCTGTAATCCTAGCAACTCAGAGGGCTGAGGCAAGAAGATCACAAGTTTGAGGCCAGTCTCAGCAACTTAGCAGGGACCTGAGCAACTTAGTGAGATCCCTGTCGGAAGTAAAAAGTAAAAAGGACTGGGGACGTAGCTTAGTGGTAAAGTACTTCTGGGTTCAGTCCCTAGTACCAAAGTAAGTAAATAAAAAAGTAAAATTTAACCTAATTTAGCCTCATTTTAAGCAACATCTATGTGTAAAATCATATGTTGGATAGTTCTATCTCTGCTATTAAATTATTACTAGAATAAAAAATGCTCATCTGTGTGCCACCTAAAATCATCTTACAGGTCAGTAGTTTAAGAAACTGCTTTTGAATGGCTTTGTCTTCATTTGCACATGCTGACAGCCTGTTCAGGTCCCGAGCCACTTCTCTCCTTGCTTCAGCTCTATTTTAAGTACCTCTTATTTACCAACGGGTGTACATTTAGGGTAGTAGAGAGACAATGAATGGGGAGGATACTAGTTATTTCTCAAGGGAGTGCTGGGGCATTCTGGGGCATGGGGTAAACTTCTAGGATGCCAGGTAATTGTGAGATGTCAGTAGGTGACTGTTTGGGGGTCCCTGCTGGGTGAGAGGATCAGAGTGGTAGTTTCTGGGCAGGGGAGATAAAAATTGAATGTAGATAAAGGGAAATGTTCAAAAATTTTCACATTTTCCTGCAAATATCAGCTGGCTTCCTTCCAGCAAGGCTTCTCTGATTACAGTGCTCTCTCTCATCCTTCTCTAGCATCCAGCACTGCTGCCAGTGCGCCCTCTGTCCCCAGACTTCAGGTCTTATCTGTTTGTATCATGCATTACCCCTCAGACTGAGCTCCCTGAGACAAGAAAGAGATGGTACTTCCTCCGCCTTTCAGACCACCTCCACTCCAGTCCTTGGGAAAGGACTATTTAGGGTAGAGGAAGGGAACCGTGAGGAGAGGAAGTGCCCCAGAGATTGGCTTCTCTTGGGTCTGCCTGGTACGAGTGGGCTGTTTACCTGATTGCCACCGAGGCCATGGCAGGAATACATGATGAGGGGCTTCCCCCCATGGTTATTCTCACCCACATCCAGGCACTGATCAATGCCGAGGTTCTTGATCTGCAAGATGGTAAACAGAGAGGGGAACCAGGGTAGCGTGACTGGGAGTTTCCAATTTTATGCTGTGAAGCCCAACTGGAAAAAAACTTTCTCTTCTACTCATCTTCTCTGCTCATTAACCCAGATGCCAGGAGTTCTAGCAAAGTGAGGGAGAGGCAGGACTGAACATCCACCGTGGGACAGGATGCATAACCTCTTACGACATCAAGTTCCTTGGAAGATTTCTTCCTTGGAAGAAGTTTCTTATGAGCAGTGGTTCTCAAAGCATGTAATGCCCAGACTATCAGCTTCTGATTTTCAAATCCTATCCCAGTCATTCAGAATCAGAAACTTAGAATGGGGCCCAGCAATCTGTGTTTTAACATATCTCCTTGGTGATTCTGATGTGCACTGACATTTGGGAACCACTACTTATGGGTTGCTTCCTTCTGATCAGGTTTTTACCTATATCTAGAAGTCCCAAAGTGGACCCTCCATCCTCCTCCTGGATAAAAGATTGTGGTAGTAAAGGTCAATTCTTGTTTGCCATTCATAGTGGGGTAGGTGGTCTTGAACTTCTCAGGGGGTTGCTGTGATAATAGGTAGGCAGTTTGGTTCTCAAACTTACAGCTCCATAGAAGATGGGATTCAGGTCAGGAACAAACATCTCTGGGTAGATGTTGTGAAGGAACCAGGAGAAGTTGTGGCAATGTAGTTGTTCCCGCAGCCGCAGTCGTTCCGAAATGTCACCAAAGGATTTCTGCCAACCAACCCAGTCCCCTAAGGGTCAGTTCCACAGTCTTGACCTTCCCGTTTGGGTTGAGCAGCTCAGACAGCGTGCTGCTCCCAAGGCCACTTTCTCTCCTGTGCATTCCCATTTAGGATCTGCTAGGGCTAGTTGTTCAGCCTCATATCCAATCTCAAACTCCCTACCTTGGTTTGGGGTCACCCCCCTGCAAAAAAAAAAAAAAAAAAAAAAAAAAAAAACAAAAACAAAAAAAACCCACCACTTCCTCATTTCCTTTGACTGCCCAGTAAGTCCTCCTGGTTTCCAGTCCAAGCTTCTCAGAGTGATTCTCTTGTAAGAAGTTCTTTCCCCCAAATTTCTTCTCTCCCCTYCCCTCCTAAATAATGCTGTAATTCTCCAGATAGGGACAACAAGGGCTCCTCTAGCCTTCAAGATCTATGGCCTTCCCTGGGCTCTATCTCAGGGGCTCTTCGGGCTGAGGGGAGTCACCTGCCATTCAGTCCCTGACTGGAGTCTAGGATTCTGTGCTTTACTTCATCCTAACACCTCTGAGCACCACTTCCTCTCACCTCTTGGGCCATCTTTGCTGCCTGCAGATTTCTCCTGTAGAAAATCTTCTTGTAGTTATCCAGCCAGACCTCAGCCAGGCGCACTTGGTTGCGAGCAATGACACTGGTGCCCTTGGGGAAGGTGTGGGGACTCTTGGTACGGAACACATGGCCTACCACAGAGCAGGGGATGATCTCCAGCTGGCCTCCACACTGCCACACCTGGCACAAGAGGAGACAGGACCGTGTCTTAGGAAGTGAGGTGTGGGGGATAATCTCCCCTCAGGTAGCTATGTTCAGTTTCCAGGGCACTAGACTCTAGGTCCAAGGACTCAGTTAAGTGTTTCCCTCTCTTCCTGGAAAAAGGGACATTGACCAAGTTTCTTCCTAGGCTGTGACTATTCAAATCCAGGCTCTGTGATATTGGTTCATTCTCGTTTAAGCAAATAGTGATTTACAGAATCCTGAGGTCACTATGGCCCACTTTAGAGAAGGGATAGTTGGTTCACTTTGTGCTGCCCACCTACTCTTCACTCTGATCACTTCACTTTTTGTCCTGAAGATGTGATTTTATCAGCTCACCTAGGTATTACTGGAAACTAAAGATCTCCCAAGTCAGAGAATTAGTGCACTAGTCAACAGCAAGGACTGTCAACTGCCAAGTAGCCTGGGTAGTCACCTGGTTCCTTAGCACACCAGTTTCTCAGGAGAGAGACTGAACAGTGAGTCAGAGACTCACTGAGTAGCCTAGAATCAGAATCCTGGGATTTACGATGACTGGCCAGTGACCCTTCTCCATGCCAGTGGGCTGGACAAAAACATCCCTTCCACTGGTCTCTTCTTTTGGGTTTCATGTGTGGAGATATGTTATTGTTCTCTTTAGCTTCTGTAGTACAATCATAGTTAGATTATAGCAGATATCAATTATGTGTTTATTATGTGCCACTGTAAGAGGTGACTTCAAAAATGAACTCATCTAAGAGTGGTTGGGGAAACAGAGTCCCAGGAACCACAGGCTGCTCTACCCAAGAACCAGGGAGAGGCGGGACAGGGCCAAGATCACTGTAAATGCCTGTCTGAGGCAGTATTTCCTGGTGTCAGGTGCCAGGAGAGAAAGATGCCTGGGGGTGGAGGATGATTGTAAATATATCAGCTCCACGTTATTTATAGAAAATTTACATCTGTGTGAATGTGAAATAAATGTCCTTAACTAAGAAAGAAAGAAAGAAAGAAAGAAAGAAAGAAAGAAAGAAAGAAAGAAAGAAGAAAAAATGAGCTCATCTACTTATTACTTTTTACTGGCATGGGGATTTGAATAGGTTTCATAAAGAGAAAATCCTTTCTTCCTACCCCAATCTTGATTTGCCTAATTCTTAAAATCCCTCAGAGTTCTGGCATCTACCAGAATCAGGGTCTCTTGTCTTCTCCTACAGTTATGAAGAGTTTATTTAACATAGACAGAGAAACCCTAAGGGGATGTGTCTTTTGACATGGGAAGGAGAGCCAATTAGAATCCCCAGTCCCCCCATGTCTAGTCCTTATTGCCTCTATTACCCCTTCCCTCCTAGAAGTTCTACCTAGTGATTTATTTCAAGTCATCCCGCTGATTTCCAGAACCCTTCTGCCATGGACAGGGAGGGGAGCAGAGAAAGGGCAGACCATGACAGAAAACAGCCACCCTTTCAAGTTCAGTTCCAGATGTGACATCCCTGCCTAAAGGACAGCTGCTTGTGCTGTCCCCTGGGATGTTGTAGTTTCCCCCGAAGCCCTCTTCACTCTCACCCGCAAGGACATTTCCACGTTCTCCCCTCCCCAGATCTCCATCTGATTATCATAGGTACCGATGTGTTCAAAGTAGGACTTGGAGATGGAGAAGAGGCCACCAGCAAATGTCGGGGACCTGGAGAGACAGAAGGAGAAGCATGTRCATCTTCTGCAGGGGGAGGAGCAGGAGGCTGTTGAGGAATGCTGTTTGTGAGCTCACTTCCTAGGCCTCCATAGCCTACCTCCTCTTCTTCCTGGGACATGTAGCCCCTCTTCTGCTAAGTCACCTGTCCACTTAACTTTTACTTTGTCCTTTTTCCTTTCTAATTCTGGGTCAAGGACAGATGTAATTATCATTACTCTCCTCTGAAAGGCACTCATTCATTCATTCAACCAAGAATGTATGAGACACCAGCCTCCAGCATGTGTGCTATACATGAGGGGCGACCAGAGCTGACAAGGACAATCCCATTCCCTGAGTACACAGTATAGTAGCACAGCAGGAAGCTTCATTGCTCACTTTTGGGCAGCAATGTTCTAGAATGAAGTAAATACTCAATTTTTGGAAGTTGTGTGAAATTGTTTTTGAAAATAGGCAGGAGTCAAACTGTGAATGAATGAACACATATTATCATCTGGGCTGGCCCTATTCTATGTTGGGGTCTTTGGCCCTTTGGCGACTATAAAGCCACAGTACTAGCAGGAATCTCGCCCTGGTGTTCTAAGCTGCCTGAGAAACTCAAGATGCCAGTTACCTTGAACAGGGGAAACTGATAAAAGGTGCCCCTGGAAACAATGAGAAGAAAGTGTGAGATAAGCACCATGTTTGGACTATGAGGAGCAACTAGGAGGCCATAAAAAGATTCTGGCATTCAGACAAAGGCAAGGAGGCATAGACCCAACTTAGGTAAATTGACAAAAACATCTCATTCCTAGAATTAAACACCAGGCTAAGGGCGGGGCACCTGAGTGGACAAAGGGAAGTAGAAGCATAATGGAAGGCAGAAGCACTTAGTCCTTGGCTGTTGGCTTCTGCACCTGAGCCAGGCTGGCTTGAATAGCTCTTTGCTGCCCTTCGTGGGTATCTGCATATGATAGGCCAAGCAGAAAGAAACAGAAACTTTTTGTGTAACCCCAGAACCTATCAAGGGGCCTTCATCACAGTGAGGTCCAATCAAGGTTCAGTGGGCTGATCCACCAAGGTGACTTCACAGGCACCTGACCTTGGTGTTACCCTGTAGTTGCACTCATCTCCCTCAAGTTGGCTTTTGCAGCCACTTTCTGGGAGGAATTTCAGTTGGGAAACCCGAATGCTCAGCTTGGCTTCCTGTCACTGGTTCTGTCCTCTCCCAGGGGTCCTAAGCCAGCATAAGTAGCATCCAGAGAGGCTCAAAGAGTCCTAGAACTCCAGATGGCTTTGAAGCTAACCTGCTCTTGAGAGTCTCCCCCACTGTGGCCTCTCTCATCTCCAAAAGGTCTCCTAGACTAAGTCACTGACAAATCAGCTGTGAGGATAAGCCCTACACAGGGAATATCACAATAGATTCACAACCAACAAGCAACCTCTAATAAATGCCCTCTATTTCTTAGCCCTGGGATCCTTCTGGCTCATCTGCCTCTCCCCTTATTTCTCACCTCCTCTGTGAGGAAGTCCTACAGAAGTCCTGCCATGGGCCACTCTGTGAAGTGCCTTGGGCATGCCATGACTGCCACCAGAGGATTGGAACCAAGGAGCAAATTCATTCCTCAAACACTGGAGCTTTGTTCTCCAGTTGTATGTCCCTGGATGCTGGAGCTGGGGATGTCAGTGATGAGTGGCAGCCAGGCGCCTTGTCCCTGACTGTGTTACTATGTGTCTGGCCCCAGTCTGGGTGTGGGATTTATTGCTGTACATGCCAAACAGAAGACATCTATGGAAAAAGTGGAGGGTCACTAGGGAATTCCAATTCCTTTTCTCTCTCCTGTCCTCTCTTTTCCCTCTTTGTTTCTAATGCAGACAGACAGTTGGCAGTTCAGTATCCCTGGGCACCCGAGCTATCTCAACTGAAACTCTGGTCACCATTTCTCAGGATTCTGGGCATGTGCAATGGGAGGAACCCCAAGCCTCTCCTCCTTTCAAACCTCTCTGCACCGGGCACAGTGGCACACACCTGTAATCCCAGCGATTCAGGAGGCTGAGGCAGGAGGATCATGAGTTCAAAGCCAGACTCAGTAACTAAGCAAGGCCCTAAGCAACTTAGCAAGATGCCATCTCTAAATAAAATATTTAAAAAGGTGCTATGGATTTGGCTCAATGGTTGAGTGCCCCTGAGTTCAATCCCCAGTACCAAAAAAAAAACCAAAAAAACAAAAAAACAAGCAAGATTGCATGCGGTTGGTAAAACCTGTGATCTTTACTATTTGGCCCTTTACTGAAAAAGTTCAGGGCAGCAGGGTGCAGTGGTGCATGCCTGCAATCCTAACAACTTGGGAGGCTGAGGCAGGAGAGTGGCAAGTTCAAGACCAGCCTATGCAACTTAGTGAGACTCTGTTTCAAAATTCAAAATAAAAATTTTTAAAGGCTGTGGATTTAGCTCAGTTGTAGAATACACCTAGGTCCCTAGTACTAAAAAAAAAATTCAGGGCAACTACAAATTGCAACAAACTTTAAACTGCAGAAAACTTATTTTCTTTAAATATGTTCTCAATCTCTTAAGAGACCAGTATTTAGGAATGCACGCCACCCCTACTTATTACAATGGCTATTCAACTCTGACCTCCACCTATCTCTCACCTGTTCTTCCAGCATCATTTATGACCTAAGTGTCAAAAAGAATCAATGAGATAAAGTAGAAGCCTTAGTCCAGTGCCTGGTGCAGAGTCAGTGTGAATAAGAGCAAGCTGTTTTGGTGTGCAGCCGTATAGTGCCATGGTTAAGGCTATGCGGTAGACAGAGGAGGAATATCTTTGCTACCATTTGCTACCTGCCTGATCTAAGTCAATTATTTATCACTAGAAGCCTCAGTATAAAACGGGCTATCATAGTACCTACCTCATACAGAATGAGGATTAAATAAAAATGTCAAGTACTTGACAGAGCACCTAATAAATGCTGAGGTGGGATGGCACAGGTCCCTGGAGTTGGGAGGGACTGTGGCCACAGAAGTCATGTTGGGGGCTCATCAGGCTGTGATCCTTACTTGATGGGGTAGGTCTCATCCTTGCGCCTCTGCTTCTCATGGTCAGGCAGAGTCTCCCAGCCAAAGGTCAGGCTCCAGTCAAAGTTGCCACGGCTGTGGGCTCTGCCCTGCTGGACAGGCTTGAAGAATGCAAAAGTATTCAAGTCGATGGTAACAATGTCTGGACTCACCACTGTTGTCTTGTCCTCAGCAATTCGAGCCAACAAGGGCTCCAGCCAGCCATGGAAGCACTCACCTGCAGAGCCAGACCAGGAGGTAGCAGTCAAGGTCCTCCCCACAGTTGAACCAAGCCCCACCCCAGGCTTGCATCCCTGAGACAGGTCCTTTTGACATTTTCAATGAACTTCTGCATATATTACTTCATTGGGCCTTCAGAGTAATAATTTTGTTAGGTGAATAAGATTAGTATTCTCATTCCCATTTTACAAATGAAGAAACCGAGGCTGTTTGTGGAACAGTTAGAATGGGAACCAGAGTTTCTGACTCTAAGTCTAGAGCTTTCTCTAATATATCTCACAGCTCTTACACAATACTTTTTTTTCCCCTGAAAATTATTGGAAAGAAGAATGATAGTGAAATATAAGATGGATGCTAGTTGGCTAATAAACGGGTATTCTGCTGGTTGACCTCCAAAACACCAGGAAAGTGTTTTGACTTTTATCAAGAAGAAGGCCTTTCTGACTCCACATGGCTCCATAGGAAAGCCCCACCCAAATTGTTCCCAGTTTGAGGTCTCTTTGAGGCACAGAGTTCAGAACAAAGTATAGGTCGGGGAAAGGTGGAAGAAGAGCGTCGAGGGCTCCAGAGTACACTCTCAGCAATTTTGGGTCACCAATTGTTTTAGAGTTATTCGTGCCTCCTAATTAATCATCCCTGGGATTGGGGAAGTAAGGGGCAGAAGAAGAAGAGGCTCCCAAGCTTCCTTCACTCCTGAAAAAGTTCAACAGGGTGGTCTCGGCTTTTCATTCTGCCAGGAGGGAGGGACAGGTGGTAATGTGGGCCTCCTGGGTGCCAGGCAGGCATCTCCTACTCACAGTGGGCATCCAGGAACGTGAGCACCTCTCCCTGCGCCACGCTGGCGCCCAGCAGCCGAGCAGTGATCAGCCCCTTCCGCTCCTCCTGCCGCACCACCCTTACGATCTGCAGCTGCTGCACATACTGCTCCAGCTTCTCCTTCAAGTACTCTGGAAGGGACAAGGCCACTGTTGCCAGTTCACCGCTTTTTTTGCAAACTTAATCCCCTGTGGGCACCAAGCCTAGGTGCTCTGAGGTCACCAGYACACCTGAATGCCAAATACCCGCCACCCCCACTGCATTGAGCCACTCCACAAAAGGCTGAGGTGAAAAAGGGGGACAAGGGAGGATGGCAGAGGAAGGAGGAAGTCCCATCTGCAGCTAAGTCTCCTTGGGGCTTTGTGGTGCCTGTTTACTGAGGCACCTCTCCATATTCCATGACAGCATCTCAGAGTTGTGTTTTGTGAAATGACAAAGGCTCTCAAGTGCCTCTCACAGTTTCTCTACTGTCCCTGCCACTGCCTTCAGAGCTGTGATTCCGCCTCCTTCCCCCTCACACCTGGTGGGTGCTCCCTCATTTCTCAGTGTCTATGATTCCCTGTCTTCCAGGATCTTTGGAATAAGTTTGACTGACAGAGCAAACACGGATGTTGACTGCTTGCCAGTCGGATCAACTGCTGGATCATCAGCAAGAAGTCTTAATACTTTCTTCTTCATCATCATTTTTTTTTTTTTTTTTTGGTGCTGAGGATCAAACCTATGGCCTCACTTATGCTAGGTTAGCACTCTACTACTGAGCTACACCCTTAGCCTTTTTTATTTCTGAGACAGGGTCTTGCTAAGTTGCCCAGGCTGGCCTGGAACTTGTGATCATCCTTCCTCAGCCTCCTAAGTATCTGGAATTAGGGCTGGGGTTGTGGCTCAGCGGTAGAGCGCCTGCCTCGCACGTGTGAGACCCTGGGTTCGATCCTCAGCACCACATAAAAATAAACAAAATAAAGATATTGATGTGATTATGCAGTCTGTATATGGGGTAAAAACGGGAGTTCATAACCCACTTGAATCAAATGTATGAAATGTGATATGTCAAGAACTATGTAATGTTTTGAACAACCAATAATAAAAGTTAAAAGAAATATCTAAAACAAAAAAAAGTAAAATGCATAATTGAAAAAAAAAGATATTGTGCCCATGTATAACTAAAAAAAAAGTATATGGAATTATAGGCATGTGACACCATTCCTATAATCAATCAATCAATCTCTCTCTCTCTCTCTCTCTCTTTCGATACACACATACACTTTAAAAAACAACTATACACCAGTTATCTGCCATGGGCCAGTCACAGTGTTAGGGACTAAGTATACAGTGATCACAACTGTATGATATTTGACCTAAAGAACACATTGCCCCATGATCTGTCAGTGATCTACTAGGGGTAATGCAGGCTGGGCCATTCTTGCAAGAGGACCAAACATTTGAATTAGAAGGCAGCAAAAAAAAAAAAAAAAAAAAAAAGCTTTCTGAAAGGAGGGGCATCTTCATTGAGATCTCCAGCTCCTTTTGAGAGGGAGTATTCTGTTTCTTTACTGGCCTTTACACTAGCTGTTCTCCTGGTGGGGAGCATTCCGAGTGGTCTTCCCTAATGATCCTGGTACTCCACCTGAAACCCTCAGCACATTAAAAATAGCTCTATTCTGAAGGAATCTGTCTTGAAACATATTCCACATATACCTGTGCCACTGTTCTAGTCTCAGTGGTGCAGAATGGAGATTCGTGTAGTGTTAACAGCTGTGGCGAATCTGTGTCCTTTCCTTTTGGATCCTGAGATCAGCCCAGTGCACAGGCCCTGCTCTGAATTTTATAAACCCCATGAAATCAATTTAGCAGACTGCCACTAATCCTGCACACATACACACATGCACACTATAGTGAACACTTGAGTACCTACTATGTGCCATTCACTGAACTGGGTATTTTCATGTTGACTTCCTTCTTCAGTCTTTTCAATAACAGCTCTATGGAACAGGGAGTATTACCCTTGATATTAACAGATGAAAAAAAATAGATGAAAGACTCAAGAGTGATGAGCCCAGAATCACAGCAAGTGCAAAGGGCAGCTGTGGGTTCCTAACCAGCCTGCGTCTGAGGTGAGGCCACTTGGCCAGGACAATATGCATGGCTTCAAGGTGGTCTCTGCAACCTCTTGCAGTTATCTGAGGCCTTACCACTTCCCCATGTGTGAAACCCCAACAGGGAAGGAGATAGAGCAAGCTCCCCTTTTTGCTTTTTCTAAGGAGGGTAGAGCCCAGGGGAAAGAAAATATAATTTGGATTTTGTGTGTGTGTTGGGTGGGAGGCACTACTAAGGCTTTACCACTGAGCTACATATCAACCCTTTTCATTTACTCTTTTAAAAATTTGAGACAGGTTCAAATGAAGTTGCATAGCCTGGCCTTGAACTTACAAACCTACTTGTGCATCCTCCCAAGTGGCTGGGATTATAGGCGTGCCCCACTGTGCCTGGCTATAATTTGGAACTTCAACTCTTCTCTTTTCTTCAATTCCTGACATGGTGCTGCCTTCCTTGTGAACGGAATCCTTTAGGCAATCAAAAGGGGAGCTGTATCTTACTCCAGGAATGAGAATTCTTCCCTCTGGTATCAGGATCTTATGAGTCAAAATTAGCCTCCCATGGCAGCTTCAGTTCAGTGATCTCTTAGTGAACATCTGATAATGCATTTCCAGGTGCCAGATATTGTCCTGTGCAGGGAGAAACCTACCAGGTCCTGCCACCAGGGATTTTGTAGCCTTATGACCCAACCACAAGCCCAGGGGCTGGCTCTGACAGAAAAGAGGGAGGAACCCCAAGCAGGAGCCTCACCTTCTCAGCATGGCTCACATTCCCCCTGAGAACTGGTTTAACTCTGCTCACAGGAAGCTCATGGTAGTGGAGGTAACCCAGAGTCAAAACATCATAGGAAGTGGGTTTTGTGGTAACTGAGAAGCACTGAGCTGTGATCCTCAGGGGGATCTGAGCTCTGCAAAGTTCTCCCACGATTTCCTTCCAGTCTCACGTGGATAGGCTAAACCTGGGGATTCTGAGCCTGAGAGGCTCCCAGTCCAAGGCTTCTGTCCCTTCTAGGGAAATGAGACAGTTCCCTAAGAAAGACCCCCTGATAATTCTCCAATGGTCCCACCCTACTAACATACAGAGAATACCAAAACTGAGAATGGAGACAGGCAAGCCCATCTATGCTGTCTCATGTTTCTCAGATGACAGTCTTTTAATTTAGGTTCAGCACTATCACTCCAACCATGCTTACTCCTCAAGGCTCGAATCCACAAGACTGCAGTTGCCCTCAACACTCATGCCTCATGCAGCCCCATGGTTTGGAATAAATACCATCTATATGTGGAAGATTCCCCAGTCTTCCTTCCTGGCCTTGTCCTCCTCTTCATTTGGACATCTAACAGAACTGCAAACCTAATGTATGTCTCCCAAACAACTTCAGATCTTAACCCACCTCCCTACCCAGTTTCCCCCCTGTCAGCACAGGGAACCAGCATTTCTCCAGCTACTCCAACTTGGAGTCATGTGGATTCTTCTCCCCTTTTCTCACTGTCCATGACCAGCCAGCCCATCAACAGGTTCTGCCAGTTCTCTCTCTCCATCCCGTCGTTGCCCCAGCACAAATGTCTTAACGGTCTCTGGACACCTCAATTCTACACTACTCTCTCCAGATTATTCTTAACACAGTCACAGTGAGCAACCAAGCTATCTTTTAAAACTATAAATCAGATCATTTCACCAATAATGGTTTAAGGTACACTTAAAAACAAATCTAAACTCTATGGTGGTTTCTTTTTAAAACTATAGAATATCATATGAGCCAGCAATTCCATTTCTGGTTATATACCCAAAAGAATTCAAAACAGGGACTCTGATATTTGTACATCCATGTTCTAAGCAGCACTATTCACAACAGTCGAAAGGCAAAAGCAGCCAGGCACAGTGGTGTAGGATCGCAAGTTCAAAGCCAGCTTCAGCAGCTTAGGCCCTGAACAACTTGGTGGACCCTAACTCAAAACAGAAGATAAAAAGGGCTGGGGATGTAGCTCAGTGGTACAGTGGCTCTGGGTTCAATCTCTAATACCAGGAAACAAACAAACAACAACAACAAAAAAGCAGAAGCAACACAAGTATCATCAACAGATCAATGGATAAGCAAAATGTGGTATATGCATAGGATAGAATATTATTCTGACAGATGTTCTGATATAGATGAGTCTTAGATATATCACTACATTAAAGAAGATAGTCATGAAAGAACAGATGCTGTATGATTCCACCTATATGAGGTACCCAGATCCATCAAATTCACAGAGGCAGAAGGTAGAATGGTGGTTTCCAGGGCTGGGGGCAAGGAGGATGAGGAATTGTGGTTTAACGGGTACAGAGTTTCAATATGGGAAGATGAAACTGTCAGGAGCCACTCTGGACAGGAGCTGTGTACACACCTTTAAGTCCTGAGTAAAGAGGTACTGAACTGGTATTGTACCCATTGCAATGCAATTGGACTTTACCTCCGCTGGGGTAAGAAAGATGCAGCTCCAGGAGTAAGCGTCACCCGATGGGGTTGAATTACACCCACCTGTTTGTTGCAACCGTACCCTTTGCCCTTTTTTGGATAGAATCTTCCATAGATTAGCTCCCCCCATTAATAAAACCCAGGTTTGAGGTGTGCTCCCTCTCTTTCTTGCCTACCTTGCCCCCTGGTGGGAGCTCAGCTGAGGAACAGTCACTGAACCCAATGAAAAAGGTATTTCTCTGACTTTGTGTGATTATTTCATGTCAGCTCAAATTCACTTGGAGTGACCCTGATTGATTTAGTGGCAGGCAGCCACATGAAACCATTCTGGAGATGAACAGCCATGATGGTTGCACAACAATGTGAGTATATTTCATATTAATGAACTCTGTCATTAAAAATGGTGAAAATGGTGAATTTTGTTACTTATGTTTTACTCCCCCCACACACACACACACAACGACATACTGCTCACTGCTTATAAAGGTCTTGTGATTCAGTCCCACTCATCCCTTTTTAATTTAATTGCAGTGCTGAGGATTGACCCCAGGGCCTCATGCACACAGGCGAGTGCTTTACCACTGAGCTACTCACACCCTCTAACTCCTGCTCGCTCACTGTACCAGTGTTCTTTCTGCTTCCTTGCCCACTTGCTCTCGGCTTCTTTGGCCTTCTTTCTGTCCCATAAACATGCCAAGCCTTAGGGACTTTGCACTGACTGACTGTTTTGCAGACATTATTGCTGGGATGCCAATGGGGATGGAGACAGAATCTCTTTATGGGGAGAAACAGAAGAATGTAAATAGGGTTAATATGGAGACAAACTGCAAGTAATAAAGCAACTTTACTTGTTAAAACAGACGCTGGAGGTTGTAAGTCAACTACAGTCACAGCCTTTGAACAATTTCTGATTATATCACTGACAACTCTTAGGAGTTCAGGAAGCCTTAAAACGGCCACTCACTTCAGTTCTGACAAGCAAGGGATACAGAAGTGGGAGAATCTTGGGGGGTTTCCTACAGTGCATTCATAGGGTTCCTGCTGGGCACCTAGATAGGACAGAGAGCAGGGACACTGCATTTCAGCAAAGGCATAGCCCTTTTTTGTGTGTGTGTAATGAGATCTGCCCCTTTTCTCCTATCCTGTCCTTGCTCATCTCTCAACCTTCCCTACCCCACCTCCTCACTCCTAGCCTCTAAGGCTTGTGTTCATTTCTCCACTCTTTCTGGGCCCTAGGTATGTATCTGATTCCCCCAGTAAATCTCACAGGAGGGAGGTCTAGGTTGTCTCTTCCTCAGCCTCCCCCTGGGGCAGGACAGGGCCTTGAACATGGAGTGTACTGTTTAGGGTATGGCTGACTGATGGGCTTGGGGGCCAGTTTTCAGAAGCTGGTAGTGTTTGCCAGACCAGGAGACCTGGACACTGACCCAGTCACTCAGGAGTGAAATCTGTGCCCTGATTTTTGACTGGCACTGGGTCTCCACCCATCTCAGTATCAAATACCCAAATACTCCTGGTCATACGGTTCCTGCTGGGCACCTAGACTGGGACAGAGAGCTGGGACACTGCATTTCAGCCGAGGCACAGCCCCTGTTTGTGTGTGTGTAATGAGAGCCGTTTAATCTGATTGAATAGTCAAATGCATAGGAAATTTTACCCCACTGTGGACTGCAGATMTCTGACCAAGGAGCTGAGGTTTTTCTTTTGTTTTGCTTTTGCCTTTTCCCACTCAACAGTGCTTAAAGTATCTTTAGAGTCTGAAAGCCCTCAAGGTTGGGTTGTTTATTTTATTTTACTTATTTACTTCTTATTTATTTTCTGGTATTGGGGATTGAACACAGGGCCTCGTACATGCTGGGAAAGCACTTTAACATTGAACTACACCATTAACACTTTTTTATTTTTTGTGGCACTGGGTATTGAACCCAGGGGTGCTCTACCACTGATCTACATCCCCTACCCTCTTATTTCCCATTTTTTTCTTTTTTATTTATTTTTTTATTGTTTATTTATATATGAAAACAGAATGCATTACAATTCTTAGTACACATCTAGAGCACAATTTTTCATATCTCTGATTGTATATAAAGTATATTCACACCAATTCGTATCTTCATACCTGTACTTTGGATAACAATGATCATCACATTCCACCATCATTAATAACCCCTTGCCTTTATTTCTCATTTTGAATCAGGCTCTTCCTAAATTACCCAGGTTCGCCTTGAACTTGTGATTGTCCTGCCTCAGCCTCTTAAGTAGCCATGATTATAGCAAAGGCATAGCCCTTTTTTGTGTGTGTGTAATGAGAGCTGTCCCTTTTCTCCTATAGCTAGGACTGTTTAGAGTTCACAAATTATCTGTGGGGGCTGCACATTGTTGAGGGCGATGGTGCTCTAGTCTCAGTGGAGGAATAGAGTTTTCAATGAATTCTTGGAGCAGGCTGACAGAAGAATAAGGTCCAAGTTAGGTTTTTCAGGAAGATGAGCTAGGGGTGCTAGAACTGTCCTTAAGAAAAAGTCCAGGGCAACAAGGTAGGAACAACCAGAGAGAATGTGAATGTGTGTCTGACGGCTGCTAGGAGCAGAAAGAAGTTTTGGAGAGGTGTCTGGAGCTACTGCAAATTCTGCCCTACGAGGCACAGGCTGTTCTGCCCTTTAGATGCTTCCTATGCCAATCTGGCACTCTGTCATTTGTCCATCCTGGTCAYAGGAGTGGCTTAACTGGGCACTTATGAACTCAGAAACTCCTGTGAATGCAGTTCATATCTCCCACCCTATGGCTCAGGGGTTGAAGCTTCAGAGGGATGAGTAGCACAGGGCTGGGGGAGCAGGGGTGCAAAAGAGTCTGGTATGAGAGGAAGCTGATACACTCGCTCCTGCTCCATACAGCCATTCCATTTGCTAGTAAGAGCCCTTTTAGACCACTCCCAAGACCCTCCCATATCTGCCCAACTTTTGCCCTTCCCTTTCCAAAAGCCAAATCTATACATTCCTTGTCCACTAGTCTCTGACCACATTCCTGACACTTACCTTTGTAAATGATGCCAAGTGTCTTCTTGCCTGGGCAAATGTTAACTCCCGAAGAAATGGGTTCGACAGTGCTCATACTCAGGCCCTCCTTTAACAGCCCTAGTCCTCTTTCAGCATCACCCACAACCCAGAGGGCAGGAGGAGGCTGGGGAAGTGAGGAGGGACAACTGCTCTACTAGAGTGGTCCAGGACACACGCTGCAGGTGTGGAGTCAGTTTCTGCCTTCAATATGGGAGTTTGGATATGGAGGCTTGTCTGGGAGAACCCCAGCCACCACAGGCCACCTGAGAGGAGGCACAAGCACCTGGAGACTCCCAGTCTGTCTATGCATCAGTCCTACAGCCCCTTTACTAGTCTGGAACCATCGTCCCACTTTCAAGTGGTTCTAAGAACTCATTCTTTGGACTCTGGGTCATCTGCCTATCTTCTTGCCAATTACCCTCCTCCAAAGCTGCCATCCTTCTGAAACAAGGTCACTGTCCAGCTTAAACACTTTCAATGACTAATTTCTCCCTAAATAAATACATTTATCCTGGTATGAATGTTAATTCAACATCTTTTTGGACTCATTTCCTACCATAGCCCAAGCTTCAGCCACACTAGATCTCTCCAACAAACAATTTCATTTCTCTAGGATTCTGTTTATGTTGTTCTCTCTCCTGGGAATGCCCTTTATCCATTCCTCTTTCCTAGACATTCATTCTTTAAGGCCCATCTCCAATCTGGCCTCCCCTGTGAACCAGGCCCAGACATGCAAGGCAGAAATAACACCTCTGTCTCTAGACTCCCATGGAACATGGCCCCCACACAATGAATAAAATGAAACCATTGCTTAGGGAGTGATTGATTATTTGATGTCAATTACTCTGTGTCACATGAATCATCTCATTTATCACCTATCTCAGACCCCTTACCTACCATATAAAGAATTCAATTGTCCTCATTTTTAGAAAAGGAAACCAAAGTTCAGAGAGGTAAAATGCTTGCCCAAGCTCACAGAGCTAGGAAGAGTCAGAGCTGGGATTTAAATTCATGGAGTTGGACTCCCAAGTCCACACCCCTTCATATGTGTTCATATGGCCATACCACTATCTGACCTGTGAGGGCTGTTAGTTGGCCTTTTCAGGATAGGGTCTGTCTTGTTTGTCAAGACACCCCGTGGGCCTGGGTCAGTGCCAGGCACAAGCACTCAGTAAATGTTTGTGGAGGTGATTGAAGTGAGCAAGTAAGTGAGCAACCTCACTTACCTATTAACAACCATAGCAAAAAGAGCTTCTGAGGTGGAGACTTCAGAAGAGTGTTCTAGCAGGCAGGCAATAGGGAAAGGCCTGTGTCTACCCTCTGCCTTGTCCTTGCCCAGCATTTCTGAGTTGAGGTTGAGCCTGGCAGCTCTCAGGGAGTCCTGAAGGCCAAAGCTGCGAAGCTCTTGGAGTTCTTGGGGTCCAGTGGAATAACGTTCAGGCTCTACGAATGTAGTCTCCCTGCCCCCCACCTGTCTTCTGCTCCTGGTGTCTATGATGAGTGCAATGCCAGGCAACAGGCCTGATTCCTTGAGAGAAACTGTCCTCCTTCTCAGAGTACCCCTGGGACCCCAGCCCCTCCTCAGGGCCCCTCAAGCCTCACCCTCAGTGCTGGCATCATCCACCAGTATGATCTCCTTCAGCAAGATGGCAGGGCTGGTGTATAAGACGCTGTACACCGTTCTCAGCAGCGTGGACCAGGCCTCATTGTGGAACACAATAATGACACTGGTGCTGAGCAGTGGGGGGCAGCGCGGGAATTTCTGGTCCACACACCTGGAAGGATGGGAGAATGGAAACAGCTGTCCAGGTCCATGGAAATTCTAGGAGTAGGAAGGGCTGGGTCTAAAGCTCCCCTAAACCATCCTTTGTTCCTCTGAACCGCTAGCTGACATCCCCTGCTGGCTCCTTGATTTCCTATCACGTGCTCTGAGCTTTGCACAGGTCCTAGCCAACACACTCCAACCTCCCCTGGTCTCCAGAGCTGGCTCAGTGCTCCAGATGCGATGCTCAGTCTTTCCCACCTCCTCCTTCCTTCATCTGTTCTCTACTATCAGGCTAGGACTTCCCAGGGCCTACTCTTTCTCTGTAGTATGTGTATTGTGTAAAGTGAAATCCAGTCTAGAAGTCCCCAAGGGGTAAGTGATAAAGGGCAAATTTGACATTTGAGAACATTGACTACAATTTTCTTACTCAATGTGAGAAAAAAAGGTTCTTCCATTTTTAATTTACAGTTCCTCTCTAATCCATTTCCCTATTAACATCCTATAATACAATTCTACTATCACAGTCAATTTCCTGCAAACGTTTCTCTATCCCCATCTACTACAACAACCATTCTGTGGCATTTGGCCACACTGCCATCTAGACACTCCATCTTTGGGTGAGAATCTGGAGCTCGGTGATCCCATGGTTTAACACCACTTCTAGTCCCCCTCTGTTGTTCAGAGAGATTGCTCATGAGCCCTCCAGAGAGATTCTCCAATTTCCTCCACTGTGCCTCAAACAATGCCCTCCTTTGCCAGCAAGCTTGCAGTAACAYCAAGTGACCCTTGTTCTAGGTTATGATACTTGTGGTCCAAGTCTGAGGAATTGCAGGCTCACAGCCCTAAAGGATCCTAAATTTGGGGATGAAGAGCTGCATATGAGAAAGGCCAGAAAGAGTCTTAACATTTTTGTTATTGTTGTCACTGGGGATTGAACCCTGGAACACTCTACCACTGAACTATACCCCCAGCCCTTTGTATTTTTTTTTTTTTTTGAGACAGGTCTTGCTAAGTTGTTGAGTCTGGCCTCAAACTTGGATCCTCCTGCCTTAGCCTCCCGAGTCACTAGGATTACAGGGGTGGGCCACAGCACCCATCAAGGGTGTAACTCCTAAATTGAAAAAGACAAAGGCTGAGTGGGGACTCAGAATCTTTAACTTGAAGACAGTGTGAACACAGCTGTGGCCACATTAGATGAGGTGGGAGCAGTTCAAAGATGGAAGTGTTGATTTCATCTTCAAGACTGAGAATATAAACAGTTTCAAATAAAGGCTGGAATGACTTCATGGTCTTGTGGCCTTCACTGGAGGAAACCAGGTGGTGCGGGGACATTCCAGACCTCCAGGGCTGTAGTTAGGAAACATCAGCTCTCCCACAGTCTCTGGGACAGGCCTCAGCAGAGGGCAAGGCCACTGAAACCACAGCCTGCTATCAGTCCTTTCCAGGTACCTCTGTCCCCAATACTAGTCCCAAACCCTGAGTTCCTTCTTCTCTATCCTGTCACCTTCATAACTGTGTTTCTCTCTCTCAGGTCTCTGTAGGTCTCTGACCTGCCCATAATATTCCTTTAGTTCCTGGGATAAGGACAACTGGTCAGTGAAAGAAAAGAGGGCTTATAGGAAATCCTTCCTTGTACTCTCAAATGCCCTTCAACTTTATTCCTGGCACATGGCCTGGGGCCGCAGCCCTAACTTCCAAATCTCTGGTAAAGCCTGGGCCTCCACCCAGGACTCAGTGCTACTTACTCAGGGGGTCGGGTGTCTGGCCCCAGGGCCCTGTGCAGGGAGATCCGGTCACTGGCAAAGGCATTGAAGCAGTGCTTCTTATAGCCCTCTTCCTTTTCCTGGATCTCCAGGGGGGTCCACTCACTCTTCTTAAATGGGGTTCCGTCTGCCCCAGGGCTGTTGGGGTCCTGTGGGGGCCGTTCCCAGAAAGGCTTCAGCTCAGCTGGGGTATAGAAGCCAGGCAGGCAGGACTGATTTTTGGAGACTGGAGCCTGCTGGGGCTCTGGAGCCCTGATCTGAAGCTTGGGCATTGAATCTCTAAGGTTGTTCACAGCCCCTAGCATGATGTCCAGCATGTGATCCTTCTGGTTCACCAGAGACTTCAGCCATGGTTTCTCGGTGGTCTGCTTCCTGCTACTTGTGTCCTTTTGCCGGATGAAGAGGAAAAGCATGAAGGCACTGCCCACCATGGCCAGCCGCAGGGTCATGTGCCGTCTGCGGAGGAGCCTCATCCTCCACAACCAGTGGGGACGCCAGCAGGCTCAGCTCCACGTACCAGGCCTGACCCTGAAAATAGCTTGATATGTCGTGGTGGCCACACTGTGGGGTCTCGGCCTGAGAAAGGAAGGGAGAGAGAAAAATGAGGCAAGATAGGGTGGGGAGGGAGCTGGGGTTTGGGGCTATAGTCCAGGCTCTTTTCTGAATAGTGGCCTCACCTTTAAACGGTCACAATGTGCTGGTGCTTAAATTTTGTTCATTTGTAAACTAAGAAACTGGGCTCTGTTTCTTTCTTGCCCTAAGATCCTGACTTTTCATGGATTTGGGCAATTGGAACATTGAAACTCTACAGGAAGACAATCAACATTAACATTTTAGGAAACAACTTGGTACTAACAAGTAAAATGTATGTTTGTATGTATTGGTACTAGGGATTGAACCCAGGGTCACTTTACTGCTGAGCTATATTCCAGGTCCTTTTTATTTTCTATTTTGAGACAGTTGCTAAGGGTCTCACTAAATTGCTGAGGCTAGACTTGAACTTGCAATTCTCCTGTTTTGGCTTTCAGAGACACTGGAATTTTAGCTGTATGCCACCACACCTGCCAAGTTTGTTTATTTAAAATTTTACTTGGTTAGCCAGATATAGTGGCCCACACAACTATTCCCAGAGACTCCGGAGGTCAAGGTAGGAGGATCACAAATTTGAGGGCAGCCTCAGCAACTTAGTGAGATTCCATCTCAAAAAAAAAGGTCGGGGACAAAGGCTGGGGATGTAACTTAGGGATAAAGTTACATCCCCAGCCTTTCTGAATAGTGGCATCACTATTCAGTGAGTTCTTCACTGAGTTCTATCTACCCCCAGTACTGAGTACTCCATTCCTACTTTTATGTCCCAGATAAACTCTAGTGCATGCAAACCAAGAAGCCTAGACAAGAATGTTTATAGGAGCACTGTCAAAACCACAAAAATCTGGTAACCATCTACAAGTACATCAGCAATAGAATGAATAAAGTGTGAAATAGCTGCACTATGAAGTTCTCTACAGCCATAACAAAGAATGAACCACTTCTCCATGCAACATGTAGACCTAAGGTTGGGTGGAAAAGCCAGTTGCAGAAAGACTTACATAGGGGCAGGGAATGTGGCTGAGTGGTAGAGTACTTGCCTAGCATGCATAAAGCCCTGGGTTTATTCCCTAGCACCATAAGATCAAATAAAAGGAATACACATATGGTGTGATTCCATTTACAGACAATTTGAAACCACGTTGACACTAAACAACATGTTGTTATGAATACAAATGCATTTTTGTATTCATATTCATATTAAATAGGTATTAATATAAACTATAAAGAAACTAAAGGAACAATAAAGCCAAAGTTTCTGAACAAGGAAAAAAAAGGTATGGGATTAGAGATGGGCAATAGGGAACTTAGAAATAGAGCTTGACTTTGCCCCGAATTAAATAATAGCTGCTGTTCACCAGAAGTCTTACTGATAACATCAACAGTCAATCGATCATATTCGGTATATATAATAGATATGGTGAAAAATGCGCATGAACCAGGGATCACTTTTTAGTGTGATACTCAATTTTCTGAGGAGAGAAACTGCTCATTTGAAGAAAATTAGTGTTGCATGGTGTTTTAACTGGATACTCAAAATAATGGAACTCACCATCATAGCAACAGGAGGTAGCTACAAAATTATTACAGGAGTACAATATGTACAAAGTTATTTTACGTAGTTATGATTTGTTTTTTGGTGCTGGGGATATAATTCAGGGCCTTGTGCATGCTAAATACACAATTTAACACTGACTTACATCCCCAAACCCCAGTTATGATTTAATATTGTACCTTTACATTGGCTACATTTCTCTCCATTCAAATGGTATCATGTGTGGTCTATATTTGTGGTCTTAAGTTCTGATAAAATTTAGTTTTTTACATCCGGGCACGGTGGAGCATGCCTGTAATACCAGTGGCTTGGGAGGCTGAGGAGGGGAATCACAAGTTCAAAGCCAACCTCAACAAAAGAGAGACACTAAGCAACTCAGTGAGACTCTGTCTTTAAATAAAATACAAATTAAGTCTAGGATTGTGGTTCAGTGCCCTTGAGTTCAACCCCTGATAACTCCCCCCAAAAGAAATTAACKTTTTATAATAGATTTTTGTATATTTTATGTTAGTAAATAATAAAATAGATTAAAATAAATTTTATCTACCTATATTTCACATACTCATGACATATCTAATTTTTTAAAATATTTATAGGATAAAAGATTTGTCAGTTTTTTAAACTGTTGAAAATCTCCCTCTTCACACACACACAAAATTCATGTATGAATGCACCCACATAGTTTAAACCATATTGTACAAGGACCAACTAACTGTATTCTTCCAAATCTACTCATTTATAATGAAAATTTAAAAAATATCTTTAAACTTAAGATTTTATGATACTTTCCAGGCAGGACCAAGCATGGGTGCTCATCAGTTTCCAACTTCAGGAATGTATCCCACATCTCAAAGAATGAGTATTTGCAAAACTTTCCTGGGGCCAGCTCTGGAAGTCTAAGGCTCACTGATGGAGCACTAGATGTTGGTGGCAAAAGAATGGAGCATAAATACGGTACTGCCCCTATCGTAACAGCACCTACCTCCTAGGGTTGGTATATGGATTAACTTTGAAAAAAAATGTGGAAAAACTTGGCAGTCTCTGTACATATTAAGTTCTCAAAAAGCATTAGTTGTTATCATTAGGCATGCAAGACCCTTGGTGACTTATTTAATCCCTCTAAGTCTCAAATTTCCTCATCTATAAAGAGGGAATAACTAATACCTAACTCGCACGGTGCTGATGAGGATTAAATGGGATATTGTACGTAAAATACCCAGCAGAGTGCCTGGCGTTTACTAAGCTCTCAATAAGTGGTATCAAGTATTTCTATTATGATAATTAATAAATCCCTGCTCAATGTCCCAGGAATTAACCTCAAGCATCTGGTCCCTGGCCAAAACCACCATGATCATCCCTTGCATATTTTGCTTAAAAGTAACTCTGGTTCAGCTCTTTATTTCTGCTATTTAAACCTACTCTCTCCTGCCCGTGGGGAAGCCTGGCATAGTCACTTACATCTGGGGAATACATGGCTGTCATAATCTGGACAGGGAGCAGGGTTTGCTCTGGGCATGGGGAGACTGGCACTTTCTTTCATAACATCAGATTCAGCAGCAGCATCAAAAAATCAAACAAAAGAAATCTCTTTGGGCATTTGGTTTGCATTTTTTGTATTGTCTAGGAGATGGGAGAGATTTGTTCATTCTGCCAATATTTATGGGATATCTGTTATCTGCTAGCAACTCTGCAAACTGTGGGAACATAGGGGTGAACAAGGCCCAGGGAGTGTACATCAGTTGAGGGAGTAAGATGTTAAACAGTGATTGCTCAGCAAGATGGTAACACAAGAGAGGCACCCTTAGGTGATGAAAGAGAAGGGAATCTCAACAAATATTGAAAAGCAGAGCCATCCCATCAGGGGAAGAAGCTTGTGCTGAGCTTCTTGAACACAAGAGTAGGAGTCACCCTGGTGAAGTGAGCATGTTCCAGGCAGAGAGAAGAGCACAAGCAGAGGCCTAGGGGTGGGGAACAACATGGCCAATCAGAAAACTGAGAGCCATCTGCTATGGTGGGAGTATGACATCTGATGGGAGCAGCAGCAGATGAGTCTGAACAGGCAACTGGGGAGTTTGCCCTTGACCTGAGGTGTGAGCAACAATAAAGGATTAGCTGGGAGCCCAGAATTCCACGAGAAGCAATATGACAGCTGGTAGAAAGTGTCTAGGAGAAGGACCTGCTTGGCAGCTGGATGGTCAGTTAAGAGAGGCCTGAAGGGTCTGACCCAGTAGAGCAGCAGAGCCAATGAAGAGGGGGAATGTAGTGATAAGGTGAGAGCAAAACTCCCTTGGGTGTTAGGGTGGGACACAGAGGAACATGAAGGAATGGATTCTTGTTGGAGAACAAGAGGTGGTAGCAGGGGGTCCAAGTAGCACCCGTCCCAGGAGGAGACAAGGCAGAAAAAAAAAAAAATCTTTCACAGAATCCCCTTTTGTCCTTTGAACCCTGACTATATTACCTATTCAAAAGTTCATAACAGGTGTGGTGGCACATGCCTGTAATTTCAGTGTCTCGGGAGGCTGAGGCAGGAGTTTCAAGCCAGCCTCAGCAATAACAAGGCGCTAAGCAATTCAGTGAGACCTGTCTCTAAATTTAAAAAACAAACAAACAAACAAATGAAATAGGGCTGGGAATGTGACTCAGTAGTCCTGTGCCCCTGAGTTCAATCCCTGGTGCACACACAAAAAAAAGTTTATAACATTAAAACTTAATAATAGCCTAGAGAATTAGCTGAAAAGGTAAGACTTTCCTGTGGAACTGAAGGGGGTTTAAGGGAAGGAATGAGGGTGCAATGTAATGGCAGTTTTCTGATCCTGGGTTAGAACTATGCTGGGGTCAATCCAAAGGGTTCTCATTGAGCTAAACACCTAATTAATTATGGAACTGCTGCAGCCAAGCCCAATTGGAGAGCTACAGAATGGGATAGTATGGAACATTCTGCAGGCAACATGTTTTCTGCTATCTTCTGTCTACCTTCCCCCTCCAGCAAGAAAGAGAACACAAGTTAACAATGAAGGTGTGGTAACATTGTGCTTATTACCAGTACCCACAGCTTTAGGACTCACCTCCTCTAGGAATGTGAGCCACCCAGGTCACTCCAGCTCACTCTTTCTGGCACTGCCTTCTGGTCCCCGAAGCAGGGTTCGTCTCCTTTATTTCTCCTGGAGAAAGAGAACTAGGGTCAAAATGAGCTGCTCCCAGGCATCCGCTCTCTCAGTCCAACTAGCTGTCTAAAACTTTTCTTTCTGGAATCTATAGTTCCTCAAGGTACTCACCACATCCTGAATTGAAACAAGACACCTGTGATTAGGCTTGGCAGTAATCACTGTC